TTTGCAAAGTTCCTACTAATTTGGTGATGCAACAGAAGTTTATTTGGGCTTTTTAAAAATAATACGTAACAGAATTTTGAAAAATAAAAATATGCTCTGGCGATATTGAATAACCACAGTAGCCACTTTTTTTTGGAAAATCTGTTTTATTGATTTTTAGGAGACTTTTTAATAACTGAAAGCAAAAATGAATATATTCTATATTCAGAGATAAAAAAAGTAAAATAGAGGACGAATTATGAATCTAATAGGAAGATATAAAATAATTTAAAATTAAATGAATCAATGGTAAAAATTGCCAGGAAATTTGATCTGTTAAAAATCCCTTTTTCGCGGTGTTGAGGGGGTGGGTAGCCTCGCATCTGAAAAAAAAATTTATCGTTATCAGTTTCCACTGTATGGATGATCGGATTGTGTCCCTTAAATAATGCCTTTTAAATTGGAGTGATTACGAAGAATGAGGGGGAAATGAATTCAGCTTCTTCTCACATTGCTGAAAATATTCTTCTGAAATCATTCGAAAAAAAAACGTGTTGTTTGAGTTTAATATACATTTCATATATTTCATTGTATGTAAGCGAATCGAACTGCCCGTACATTTTTGAACAGCTCGCGCGACGAAATGAGCATAATTCTCTTCTGGCGCATATCGTCTTAAGCTTTTCCTTCGGGGGAGAATTGGGACGAGCGTCGACCGAACTACGTTCAATGGATTCACCTAGTTCACTTTGCCAGTAGAAACTCACTAATTAGAAGGAAAACTGATAAAATCAATTCACATTAATTGAATAGCTTATGTACATCGCTAGAAGACACTTTTCTAATTCTCTCTTCACACAAAGCATCGGCCTCTTTTCAGTCGTTCAAATCCGGCAATAGGCATATTCACGAAATTCTTGTTTATGCATGATTGCGGGAAATGGTCCCATTAATCAATTGATTCAAACAGTCCCATTATTATATTTTTTAGGCAACGGAAAAGATAGATTTTTCCCTATATGTCGTATGAATTATTTTTTCCGATTGCAATGCTCTTCTGAGCTCTTCAGTATTCTTCAGTAAAACGTAGGAAAATAAGTCTGAAACTCTTGATTTTTCCGTGGTCAATAAGAGAAATTTTTGATGTATTTAAATCCGATTCAAGCATAAATAATTCAACATTATAACAAATTAAAGGGTCAAATATTTATTCAGAAACTTTGAACAAGTCTAGTATTTGAATGCACGGCATTATTGGAAGTAATAACAAATTTCAAGACAATACTAGTCTCAACGAGGCTCCCGAAACACTTGAAAAGCACTAAATATGCAGTAATATCCTGAAATGATTCGTTTTGAAATGTATGGAGTTCGTCTAGAAATAAACCGGCACAAGACCAATAATTTCTGGAGCAAAACGCAATAATAATAATGGTCCCGTATCGACAATTATTATTGTTATAGCATCCACAATACACAAATAATTTGTCTGAAATGCATTTAGAATTGCGAATATTTCAAATATTTTACCTTTCTATGATATTGAGAATTGTGTTTTAATAATACCATTGCGACAATAATTGTAGAGCAAGATACTAATATTACAGAAATTACCTAATATACATACAATTGGTTTTTTTGCAGTATTCAACACTTACAATTCGACTATAAATCCAATACCAATTATAACACATGCTCAACATTTGAATCAATCCCATCCATTGTGAGATACTGTCTGTTGAGAAATCGCAGAATATGTATAAGACCAAATAATTGTTAATTCCGTACAACATTGATAAAATTGTGCAGAAATGATGGAAGATTTTTAATCGAGATTGATGATAGGAAATCGGAAAGAATAGAATCTGAATGATATTCATCAGTTGGTTTTATTTTTTGAAACAAATATGGATTGAATACATATAATCGTTCAGTTGCTATTGATAATCGAATGCAGCTTCGACATGCATTAATTGCCCAAATAAGGAAAGCCACTTGAAAATAAAATTGAACGATTCCATTTGTTTTGAAGTTTGCTGTAACGGTTGCAATTATATTTGCGAATAAATCTGAACATTTCGAGATTTGATTCAAATATTCTGTTGAACGAAATACTCACATAAAAACGTAAAAATTAAATCATATGTGAATTTGGCAACGAATAAATAATAGTCGCGTATTCGTTTGATTCTAAAATTTTAAAATTGTAGAGAATTCAATTTTTTTTAATCACTTGATGATTCTTAATATTAGTCGATAGGCTGAAATTAGATGTAAAATTGATACAACGAAGCCAGCACTACGCAAAAGAATTATACTTGACAAAAATTCCATTTTGGCAAGGATTTTGAATAGATATTTGAAATGAATGACTAATAAATTCATCTGATGCATTCGTTTATTCGAATAGATTTTTTCATTTTTCCAGTTCATTGAAAGTTCGAGTGCCTCAATGAAGCTAAAAATCATGCGTTTCAAAAATTAATATTGTCGCCATCGCGAGACCGCCGAAAATAGATGGATAGGTCTTACCGTGCGGTGTGCGCCTTTAATTGATCAGTTCGTAAGTCTACTTAATTAGTTTGATGCCATGAGAGCTGCAAATTTTCCACCGTCACGCGGACGACGAAAATAATCAAATCTATTAATGAATTCATCGAAAACCATACATGAATAAAGGTCAATTCGTAACGCAAACAGCATTAAAATATCAGATAGGACAAAACGAGAAAAAAAGGAAAAATGTCGTCATGGCCAATTTTTTATTTTTACAAGAGCCCTGCGAATTGGCATTCGCGAAGCTTCTGCTTTCAGATCACTCCAATCAGCAAACCAAATACATACAGGTTTTCAATGATCCTGAATTCCCCCCCCCCATTTACATGGTTTTCTCGAAACTGCGAAATTTGGGGGGGGGGGTTGGCGTGGCGTATCATTATGACGCGCACTGTATAACAATGTTTCAGTATAATGTCGAGGTTGAAATGACGTTTAGCTATATTTCGAATAGTTTCATTTCCAGGTTCATCCGCCGCAATCGGATATTCACGAACTGCAATTCCAGCAATTCGTTCTATATATTATGCAATTTGAAAAGATGGCATATTCTGACCGAAAAAGGTGTTGATAAATATATTGCTTTTAAAGGGAGGCAACTTTTAAAACTACGAATATGAAATTATATAAGAAATCGAATTCAAAATTACGTGATGGCATTTTTAGAGAAAAACCAAAACTGTTGTATTATTGCCATACTAAAAGTGTATATTTACGGAAAAATGTATAAGCAATGTTTAAAAGCGCATACCGCATATATAATTTTTTTGACATTTAGTCAATTTGTCGCAGTTATTTTTTTAATAACAGAAGTACTTAAAAATTCACACAAAATTAGGCTCTCTTATATAATGACTGCGGCAATTTGGCTAAATGTCAAAAAAATTTTTGAGACGAATCGATGTGCGCCTTTAAACTATCTTTATACATTGACCCGTTAATCTACACTTTTAGTTGGCGACAAGGCAACATTTTTTGTTTTTTTGGCGTTTACAAGTCAATTCTCCGAAAATGACATTGCTAAATTTTGAATTTTCTTTGCCGAAAATACACATGTTGCTTACTTCGCGATCCATTCTCTCCGCAGTCGAATTTTCGTTTTTTTTTTGAGTATTTTCGGATCCGATTGGTAATTTATCGAATTCGATTGGATATTGTTCGAATACGATTTGAATTGAAAAATTAAAAGGCCAATGATTCCTCACTACCGATTTCTCACTCCACTACGGATTTTTCACTACCAAATTTTCACTACCGAAATCATAGTTCTTTCACTACCGATTTTGCACTACCGTTTTTTCACTTTCGTTTTTTCGCTTCCGTTTTTTCACTACCAAATTTTCTTATAGTCATTCTTATTGACTTTATCAATAATCCACTTTATTTCAGAAAAAAAACGAGTTTAAAGAAAATCTTTTTTTAAAATTAAATATTAAGAAAATAGCTAAATTTTATCTTTAAACGAGTGAAAATTAATTAAAAAAAAAAACACTTTACAAGGTACAAAAATATTTCAAAATTTTCGTCCGTCCGCAGCCATGAATATCAACCTAACTGCATTGTTTTTAAATTTTTTTCTATTCGTGTGATTAACAATGTTATTTCTAACAATATTTTATAGATATTGTTCACATTATTAGCTATTTTCTTAATATTTAATGAAAAAAAAGATTTTCTTTAAACTCGTTTTCTTCTGGAATGAAGTGGATTATTGATAAAATCAAGAAGAATGACTATAAGAAATTGGTAATGAAAAAACGGTAGCGAAAAAACGAAAGTGAAAAAACGGTAGTGCAAAATCGGTAGTGAAAAAACTATAATTTCGGTAGTGAAAATTTGGTAGTGAAAAATCCGTAGTGGAGTGAGAAATCGGTAGTGAGGAATCGTTTGCCAATTAAAATAAAATCAATCGGACCAATTTTTCCCCAAGAAAATCTTATCGCTCGGGTTGATTCCGGAGCCAAATTTTGCAAAAAAAATGCACTCTGGAAACTCAAAACCAATCGTATCCGACAAAATACGAAATCAACCCCCGATCCGACTAAAAATACTACGGATAAGATGATAAGATTGTCGGATTCGATGGTTTTGCTTTTCTAGAATAGCCCCATTTTTAGTAACAAACAATAATTGCTATTGATTGGGCGCAGATTGCCCTGTAATTAATTAACGTATTTATACATTATCACTTTGAAAAAACTCATTTCAGCGCGTGATTTCAATTCCAAACAAAAATAAATAAAAGTTTCAAACTTATGAGCATATAAAGCTATTCACTGATTATAAATTATGCACAAAAAGAACAAGAGGAACAGAAAAAAAACGACGCGATTAACTGAATTATATACCACAAGATAAAAAACTATGAAATCCATATATTATGAGAATCTAACATAAAAATACTGTACAGGAAATTAAAACAAAACACATCAGTGTGTATTAATTATATCACTTGAGCTGTATGACTATTGTTTTGGCATGTAAAACGGATTGCTGTAGAAGCTGATATCGGCGGGAATTTGAGGAAACGCGCCTGGAAATACTAAAGCTAATATTCAACAGAATAGTTCTTTGATTTTTTTTTTGAAATACGTGAAATCTTTAAATTTCTTAAAATCCTTACTTTGCGCATTATGTGGAAATTGGTTGGCAGCCGCATTTTGTCCATTCACTGCTGGAGTTCCATTCGGATATCTCGCCCATGCTCCAGGCGCTCCCGTTGTCGCCACAGCCGCCGCAGCCCCCATATTCGGCGGCATTCGCATGGCAGCAGCTGGACCTCCCATTCCGTGATAATACTGCGGGAACATTGCACCTCCAACAAATCGCAATTAGTAATACTTGGACAATTCGAGCTTTTACCTTGCCATCCCTGCCATCCAGCGTACATTTCCATCGGATATCCCGAATATGGATACGGCGGATATCCGCCGAGATGTCCGAATTGCATCTGATGTTGCATTTGTTGCTGCATTTGGAAATTCATTCGATCTTGGGCAGAAGATGCGGCCGCCTGTCTGTGATTCTGATGCTGCTGCCGCTTCTTGTTCTCCGAATTACGATGATTCGTCGTCGATGTGCTCGCGGCCGCGCTGCTCGTCGGCAAATTGCAATTCATCTGCTGCGACGGCGGGGGCTGTTGTGGCGGCATCTGATTCACAGGACTGCTAAATGGATTCGGAGGGCCTGAAATCGAAATTAGCAATTTTTACTCGAACAAAACTCTTACAATGCGGCATATGCTGCATTTGCGAATCCTGAGGTGCTGGTCCATTGTCATTTGCCGACTGCTGCTGCGTCGTCTGCGACATCATCTCATGCCCGAACGGACCTTGCGGGGTCAATTGCTGCTGCTGCTGTGGTTGTTGCATGGAAGATGGCCCAGCCATTTCCATGGAATTATTATGACCAGATTGAACAGAAGAGACCGACGACGGCATCGGTTGAATATTGGGACTCATAAAGTTTTGTTGTTGAATTTGTTGTTCCGGTGTCGTCTGATTTGGATTATACATCTGACCACAAGACGGAACTCCAGCGCTTCCGGGCGTCGCTTGCTGAATCGAGCCCGGCTCGTAGCAATGCTGCGGCGTCATCATATTCGGTGGGCACGCCGAGTTTGGTTGTCCGAGTGATCCCGGCTGTCCAACCGATCCAATTCCATTGGCATTCATATGAACAGTATGCGAGTTCGCTGACAATTGTTGATGATAGAACTTCTCCTCTTCGTCAATTGCTGGCCCAGCGGCGACCGGCGCCATTGGAGGTCGATCCATCGCCTCGAGAATCTTCTCTTTCTCACTAAGCTCGTCTTGTTCTGTCTTGCCAAGGTTAGGAGACAATTGTGGCGGAACATCATCATCGCCAGTCGAGTATCCATCACGAAATACAGATTCTTCCATCGTTGGATGATGCGGCTCGGCTGTCGGCATTTGTTGAACAGCGAGCATTGGCGGTGCTTCTTCAGACGAGTCGGGTTCTAATACCGCTGGTGGGTCAATTGGCGGCGGTGCTTGTGCATTCTGCACTTCAAGGTCCAATGGTGGAGGGCCTTCAATCTCAGCAGAATGACGGCCAAACATCACTTCATCATCTTCAGAAACGAATCCCATATTAACCATAACATCGCCAGTGGGCTGAGGGGTGGGAACACGACTAGTTGCCGCTGAATCATCGCTCGCAGAAGACATAGGAGTGGCGGGTTGTTGATCTTGAGCCAAATTTTGCTGCTAAAATTAAAGAAAAACATAGGAATTTTTCAAATCAGTGGAAATCTTACCGTTGGCCGATTCACGTCGACAGACTGCTCTCTCTGAATCTCAACATCGCTTGCTTCACTCTCATCGTTGCTATCCGATGTGACCGTAGCGCTTGATGCATCCGGACATGCTCCCATATTTGGATCGCTTGCCGGCGGTTGAGGTGCTTCGTCGCCATTCCTAGGCGTCAGCATTCGATCCGATTGATTCGATGGCCCCGCATTGCGAACGACAAAGTCTTCGACTCCCATAGCAGCAGACTCATTAACAAGTTTTGCTGTCAAAATTTTCGATCCTTTCAGCGACATAGGCGATCCATTCGGTATCAAATGCTTCTGAGTCGGCGTCGTCCCATTCGTGTTCCCATTCGTTAACCCCTTTTTCGACGGCGGCCGTTTCTGCTTCTGCGTCGGATGCACTTTCCCCTTCTGCGGTTTTCCTTTCCGACCTTTCTGCGCTGTTTCAAACTCATCAAGGTCAAACTCCGAGTCGCTCGATGACGCCAATGATGTCGTCGACTTCTCATCATCATCCTCTTCATACATCAGTTTTCCTCGATGGTTTTTACGACCTTTAGAACCACTATGGTTCGTCGACGGTTTTCGATATGTTATCGACGATGTTGATGGCAGTGTAACATCAAATTCCGAGCCTGCGGTTCGATGATTATCACCTGAAATTTTCGAATTTTTATCGAATACCGGAAACTGCTTACTTTTTCGCCGATTCGTCCGTTTCTCACTATCCGGTGAATCATCGCGTTTCTTCGGCCTTCTCTGTGTCTTCTCTTTGCACCCTTTCCTTCGAGTTCGATTTCGTCGGTCTTTTTTCGTGAAAAGATGCTCGTCATCCGATGTTTCGGTCTCGCTTTCAGTGGAATTTTCTGGAAAAAAATCAACATATTTCTTTTTCGAAGAATTCCAACCCCATACCGATTTCGTGTTTCTTCTTCGACGCTTCAATCCCGCTCGTCGTCGGCTCATTTTCTGTCGAAAATTTCTGACTCAAATTGCGTCCAACGGGCGGACGTCGTCGATTAGTAACACCGCAACCCTGAAAGAAACGCGGAATCAAAAAGAAACAATCACGAAATTCATATTGTGATCGATTTGATTTGCTCACATTCAGATACATTAGGAAGCGTTGAACCAAGGAAACAAAAAATCAGGGCGCATGCGATACAATTTATAAAACGCAACAACAAAAATTAGATGGGTAGCAATAAAAAAAAACCAAAAAAAAAACGCAAGTTAAATAATGAGACAAATCAAGAAACATCAAAATTCGGCTCAACAAATAAAATCTAGAACAAGGTCTTCGTGCGTTTTTTCTTTCCTATCTAAAATTGTGCACTATGGAGAAGTTGAGTAAAAAAAGCGATCGGAAAAAGTCTGTTTTTGAAAACGAAAAATGTGAAACTTGAAAAAAACGGGACCTAAAATTTGGAATTGACAAGTTGAGAATCGCTTTTATCTCAGAAATATTTATATCCATAAATGACGGCGTTTTCTCGCGCGTTAAAATTAGCAAACTCGTAAATTTGAATAACCACCAAATGATTAGTAGATCAAAAAATGTTTGGCGCGAACGGCGAAAGTCGTTCGTCTGTGGAAAGAATTTTCAAACTCAGCGCAATTATCCCATTTTTCTATTTTTTTTTTCGGCATCCCATTTTTCTTTTCAAAAACAGACTATGCAGCTCAAGTGCTGTGCGGCATGCACACGTTATTTTGATTCAAATCACCACTAACAGTCTTGATAGTGCTTCCAACGGCGGCTAGTGACACTCCACTGGGTGTGCTAGTCGCCGCTCCTCCGTTTTTTGAGCAACTCGGAGTGTTCTTTTTGGGTGTGATTGGCGAACGGATTGGCGAACGAAAATTATCTTTCGACGGCGAAAACGCTTTAGGCGTCCACTGCAATTTTAAGCGTTACACATTTTCCGGTTAGTAGAAGCCAATTCCCCCCGATACCTTTAGACATTTCTCATCAATCCAAATTCGCGACGTATCCTTTGTGACCTTCTCCCAATGTGCACTGATCATATCGAAATCGATTACAAGAGTGTTATCACTAAAAATATGCAAACACATATAATTTTTCAAAACCAAATCAGGCAGAAATACCCGTTAGAGTTTGTCGAGAACCAACCAAGCGAATCGAAAACTTCAGCAATGTCATACGGTGAGATTCCAGTGCCTTTTGAAATATCTGTAATAATGAATATTAATAGCGAATTTACATCAGTATTGAATGGATTACCCGTAATGGATAATCTAGACATGTTCTCCAATGACACATTCTGATGAATCCATTCAAATAGAGCTGTGCGCCAATAACTGGCATAGGATATCCTTCCAAGATCGGAAAGCGGTCGTTCCGGGGTTCCTGGCATTTGCTCTTTTCGTGAAAGCAAAAAACCTAAAAGAGTGCTTTAATTGTTTGAGCGGAATCACAAAAACTGACTGAAATCGATCAAGAATCTTCCGAATCCCCGTTTTTGATAGCACGGAATTGTGACGATACATGATAAATTGAATTTTTGCATACTGTATTTCTCCTAAAATATCAGAAAAAAAATTATTTTTAAAATTTTTAATAGTTGTTTAATATACTTTGCTAAAATATCCAACAAAATGGCATCCTTCCGAATCGGCGGTGGTGACGACGTAGAATAAAAATGGCTCAACATCATAGAACAGCGTTTTGTGGTCAAGAAATGATTTTGATAAAAGGCACAAATTTTGACAATAAGTTCTAAAAAACAATTGAGATTAAAAAAAAAAGGAATCGCGCAAAAGTGCAAACTTCTCAACGTTTCCATCAACTTCGAACACGGAAAGTTGATCTTTCCGATAAATTTCGGTACCCGGCGGATGAAAAGCCTTGCATTTTCGCAAGTGATGAATCATATTGTTCTCGGTTTTGACGAATTTCAAACAGAAATCACACATATACAGAACTGGCACATGAATGTATTCCATCGGGTATGGCGATGAATACCATGTCTGAATTTGGTAATGACCAAATCGAATGGCTCTTGGTAGTCGCGGCTCTTTGTCAGCCTTCTCCTGATATTCGCTCGCTTGAGATTCAGCCCGATCAATCTCTTCGGCCACTTTTCGGCGAACTTCTTCAAACATTCGCCGTTGGTCAGGATTGATCTGAAATTCACAAAATAGTAGAAAATTGGCAACAATGCTAAGAATCTAACCCAAGTGGACATATCTAAGAAGAATTAATTCAAATAAGACTGCTCGAAAGAGAATATACTGCTAGCAAAAGAATGATAAAGCTAGACCATTAGATGCTCTCTGACTAATAAAGTGCAAAAGTATCACAATTTGTGCTCAGTCACGCATTATGCGAAAGACATTCGCTCGAACGAGAGATTTCTATAAGAATGCGCATAATTGTTACTCGTCTCGCTAAGACCCAAAGCATATCAATGACTGCACTTTAAAAGTTCATTTTGGCGTCAGGCGACTGCTGAGAACGGAAAATCACACCACGCTTATTTTACAAATTTTATGTTATTTTTTTTCAAATGATTTCTAGTTATCAATTGCTTGTATTTACAATTAATTTTCATGTTTTTAAAATTTGCAAAGAATTATTGAACGCAAAATACCCTATGTGATCGCTAAGTCTCCAGATGCCAACTATATTTTCAAATCAACATACCGAAATACTGCCATCATCGACGATATTCTCCTTGTTCTCCATCGCCTCATTCTCCGGCTGCCAACCATTCTCGCGTTTCGACTTCTTCTCCCTCTTCGCCTTCATTTTCCTCTGACGCGCGACTTCAGCGGCAGCCATTGAGGCGCCGGCGGGTTCCTGAATCAATTCATTTAGCACCTAAATCATCATTGAAACATTTGATACCGTATCACTGCTCAAACCCTCAACCGGCTCGGATTTGATGGATTTGAGCAGCGGAGTCCGGCTGGACGCCGAATTCCTGCGATCCACCTTTGGTGAGAATACCTCTTTCGGTGTTCGTGGTCGCTTCTGAACGATCGGCTTCTGAAAACAACATCTTCACGTCACCCCCTCATTAATTAATTAACTCATTAGGGATCTCGTTTCTAAATTCGGTTGCGTCATTTTTTTAAGAACAAAGATAGAAACGTATAGTTTTCCCTTCATGAATTTTTCAATTCCATGCGAATTTTGAACACGCATATTTAATATAACAACATTCTTGTTCATAATAAAACGAAATTGCTAGCTTTCAAAAAAAAAAAGAGAAAATCTAACAAATGATTTAAAATTAACGTTTTTGGGTATTTATGACCCATCACATGATCTATCAAATTGCATTAACAGTCGGTAATCTGCGGCGGCAAAAAAAAACACCCAAGGGGCTGCTTGAGAGGTGAGTTAATTGTGCGAAAAACACATGGTTAAGGTAATCGCCAGTTAGGATTCGGATTTTGTCGATTCTTACCTCATCGTTGTCGGGAGTGCTGAACAACGCCGCACTGCAGCTATTCAATGTCCGGCGGCGACCCACGACGCGTCCGATGTCATTCGTTTTGTTTGGGCGTCGCTTCTCCGACATCTTTACGAAAAATAAGATTAACGGACAAATTAGCGAATTTTAGCTTTTTTTGTGGTTTTTGATACAAAATTCATCGTAAAACGAGGGCGGTGGTGAGAAAAAGGGATTAGAATAACATCATCATCATCATCCGCAACAACAACAACGACGAGGACAACCAAAAAACACAGAATCGGTTAGAAAGCAATTTTAAAATTCTATGGCTAGCAAAATGCATTTCTAAAAATATTGTGCAAGTGGTTTATCGTTGAAGGATACAATTTTGGTGAACGACCCCTCAATTAACCAAAATATTTCAAGCAAAACAGTCGCGGTTTCTTAGAATATATTTTTTAAAGTATAACCTGTAACACCGCTTTCAATATTCAATTTTTACTCGAATTTCACAAAATCATCGATTTTTAACTGTATTATCTATTCTTCAATTCCAAAATGACAAGACTTTCCATATTCGGCGAAAAAAAAAACAAACGAAAACGAAGCATTGTTTATTGCACGATTTTCGTTAATTTAAAAGTGCAATATTTTTTAGTGGAAAAACGATCGAGAAAATTGAAAAACACGTAGGTCAAAATGATGTATGCAAAGCAAAAGCCTCATGTTGAAATGATTTGGAATTTTTTGTGCCGAGACCTCGTCACTTTAACAATTTGTATAACGGGTGGAATTGAAAGTAAGCAAAGAGCCACGAAACTTGGCGAATGTTTTATACGCCAGATGTGCAATTTTGCCCCCCATCTACTTCGCATTTTTTTCCTGATTTTCGACATTCAAATGTGTCAAAATTTTCGTTTGGACCAACTGATAAGAATCAACATCAAAAGAACATTTTGAAAGGGAAAAAACCGGACACAGCGAATTGCATTTTCGAAATTTTCTTCCAGATGTTCGATGTTTTACGGAATTTCATAAAAATACATCACGATATTTAATGAGTTGTTGGATGGAACGACTACACAAAAAATTCTTCGAGTCACGAGCTAGACATTGCATTTTTTGTCGAATATTACTAAACACGATCATGCGGTAAAAATAGTTTAAAAATACTTAAAAGAGAAAATCTAATGAAAATTTTAATTTAATCCTAAAACTTATCAAAAGAGTTTGATTTTTTAAATTCTCTACATTTCTTCGAATTGCATGTTCAACACGAAAATCTTGGTTTAAACAATGGATAGTGAAAGTACACACATACATACGAGCATCGTTCAAATTGCACTTTTTGTTTGAAGATAAAACAGAAAAAAAAACATTTCATTTAGGTTTCTATCTTAAATTAAACGAATGTGGTGCGAGAGCAAGCAGGAATTCGAAATTCATAGTCAATTATCAGACATTTTCAAATTTATTTTGAAGATGATACGAAGTAGTGAGAAAAAATGAAAAAAAAAACAACTACGAAAATATTCGTATAGGGAAAATGTGATTTGTTTAATAATTCATAATTGCTAAGCGCTAATGATTTATGAGCATGCTTAAAATAAATTATGCTCGCGACTTCCTTCAATTGAAAATAGTTTCAAAGGGTATTCGATATTCATTTTTATTATTCCTTAATATGGCTTGGAGAATATAACGAAATTGGAACACTAGGGAATTAATTGATTTTGGAATTTGAGTGTTGATAAGAATTTTGGCCCAATTTACAAGATATAATATAGAAAATGTGCCGTCTGAATCGTGCAAACACTATTTTTTAAATTAAATCGGCTTTCAAAGTCTTTTTTAGTTAATCCTTTGCGAAAATCGAAAATATTCCAAGAAAATGTATATAATTTCAAAGATTTTCAAATTTTCAAAATTCAAAAAGCATAAAAAATGACTTACAGATTTTGAGTTCGAATCCGATTCGCGAGCGCTTGTTGAGGCGTACGATTGATCGGACTGCTCGAATTCTGAAATGAGAATGAATCGCGATGATTTTCCCGATTCCATTTTGGGGCTCGTTTATGTGCTAAATGCGTTTCGGTGTATAAAGTGAACAAAAAGAAGAGAAATGACGGAAGAAATGTGGAGGACGAAAAGATAGAGTAGGCATGAGGGTTTGCAAGCGCATGCATATTTTCGCGGTTTGTCAAAACAAGTTGAGCTTCCTAGCCATCTCAGGAGCAATTGAGACAATGGAAATTTCAACAATTTCGCAAAAATTTGAAATATTTTGATAAAAAATCGATAATATGCAATAGTTGAAACAAATCACGACTAGTTGTATACAAAATAATGGCGATAATGTTTTTGCAAAAAAAGTTACACTTAGTCGTTTTTTTGCTATTGAATCAATAGAACAAGTTCAGTACGACTGCTGTTTGAAGAGGGTTAGACAACAAAAGGAATATCGCTCGCACGGCCACGTTACAGTTGGCGGCCATATTGGGTGAAAGCGCGCGCGCAACTGGGAAGAATTCAAACAGTGTATGAGTGTGCGCGGAAATCTGGTTGCTTTTTTTATTTGCGAACACGCGAAAACATTTTTTTCCGAGATTTTCGGAAAAATAGACAATTGTTTTGAAAAATTAAAATTAAAATACAGTACCAAATCGTTGCGAAAATTTCGAATATTTTGCCTAGGAACCTTTAAAATTACAGTAATTAAGGTTTTTTGCACAAACACAAAAACAAATATTTATTTATTTATTTATGTGATAATTAATACTCTATATAAATATTTTATGCAAAAAGATGACTAAATAAGCTGTATGAAAGCGCAAAATGGAAGAGAGATTATAATAACAAATCTTCTAACACGCGCGCGCCGAAAAATATCGCGAACACACTAAACTGATAGCGAACAATTTTTTTGTGGTGAGTTAGAAATGATGGGTAAAAACATTGAAAAATTGAGAGAAATCGATCAAATTGGCGACACAGGCACACATACACAAAAGAATCGGAAGAAAAATGACGTACCGCCTAGTTTGTGGTATACGCGAGTGCCCGACAATGACAGAAATTCGCCCTTTCTCACCGTCCGCCGCTTCTCACTGTGCGCGCTGAAGTACGGCGACAACGAGTCGGTGAGCTTGTTCATCGACTTGGAAGACGCTGAAGAACACGAATTTGTCATAAAATCATTTTCGAAATACATACAACAGGCCGACGATGAGTTCAATTCGATATCGACATCAACGGACAAGGGCTGCTGGAAATTCGACAATTTTTAAATAAATACATTCAGTTAAGCCGATTATGATCCCAAGATTTGATTCCAACTTATCAAATTCATTTTAAATTCGGTTCCTCATTCTCGTTAAATGCAAATAATTCACAACGCCATTTTTTTTTCTGAATTAAATCACGCGAAGGACAATTTCATTTCAAAGGAAAACGCCATTTTGCATTGAAATTCACTCATATTTATTTCGAAACACCGTGATATGATGTTAAATTCAAAAATTGTCGACAAAAAAAAATTAAAAAGCGAACACAAGTCGCCAGAATTCGAACGCACCTGCGTCGTCTCCGCCTTCTTCTTTCTCTTCTTATGCTCCTTTTTTCGCATTTCCTCGATTCTTCGTCGAACTGCTTGCTTATCATCCTCATCGCTACTGTATAGTACTTCTCCACCAACTTTGAGCACTTGCTTGGTGCCTCGTCGTTCCGCCATAGGCGTGTAGAATGTGGTGAGGCTATCCTGGAAAGAAAACAAGACTATTTGAAGAATTAAAAACCATCATCTTACCGTAAGACCCTTGAGAATTGTCTCGGTCCGCGATCCCCGTTTGCCGCCTTTTTTGCTGTTTTTGCTAGTCTCTGGCATACTGCTGCTTTGAACAATAACGCTCGGCGTGCTCGTGCTTGGCGTGATAGGGCTCGGTATACTAGTAGTCGGAGCACTAGTTCTCGGCTCGGCCGTATTTGGAATTCTCGTTCTCGTTCTACTTCTGCTACGGCTACTACTGCTGCTCGCCATTCTTGTTTTCCTCAAAAAAAAATGTTTCAAGAATCGAAATAGAAAAATCTTCGAGCCTACTGTGAATTAGTATCAACCCCATATTCATCATCATCAATGGTAACCTCCTGTTTGATTAACACTTTGCTATTCGCATTTTGATCCGTTCCTCTCGCCGAACGCTTTCGACCCATTCTGCAAACCGAACAGTTGATGAATTCAGAAAACAAGAGCAAACGATTCAAATTCTCATAATGTTAAACTGAGTGCGAGAAATATTGGAATATTGTTGATAGGTGGTTTCAAGTTTGTAAAATAATATTATGCGAAAAATTCTTTAAAAATAATGTTAGCTCAAGTGTAATTTGATCTTTTTTTTGATCTCACACAAATTTCCGCATTTTTCAACTCTCCAAAAGGGAATCGAAAATCTTGCGAAAAACGTTTTTTTTTTGTCGACAAATCAATGAGTTAATGTGTTTTGCAACAAAAACTTGTGCTAATACATTGTTGTTTCTTAGAATCCGATTTCAAAGAATTTTGATAAGGCGGAAGGAGATTTTAAGCATTTTTTAAAGCACGAAAAATAAGCATATTGGAAAATTAAGATAATCGCGAAGAGAAATCATCGAAAAGTCATAGATGTGAAGATTCTTAAGAATGTTTGAAATCACAAAATTTCGAGACGTCTTCTGAAATCTTTATTTTCAGTTATTTTCACGCTCAACCCTCTAATCGATATTTAAACAGTCATATTCAGATCATTAAATTTTGCAGAATACCCTTCTGTCCTTTTAAACACGAAATGAGCGTCGATTTTTTGTTCCGAGGACGGCGAACACAAAGCGTAAACGAACGAATACTTCATATAATTTATGAGTGCCATTTTTTTGGCCAACTTGAAATGCATTCGTCGCCATCTTTCTCCGCTATACGATTTGGTGTCAGGAAACGGGCCGAGACAAAAAAAAATGGGGGAAAAGAAGAACACACCCCAACGACGGACATGAATTATATGCATTTGGTGACCTTTTACCGGCCGACGACACTCACTTATCAGCTGATATTTCAAGGAAGACCGATTGAAATTTGAGTGCCGATTAGAGTGCACAAAGATACCGAGAAGATAAGAAGATGAATTATTTGAAAAATGTTGCTTATTCAGATGAAAAATCATGAAAAAGAAGTGTTGGTGGACATAAAACCCATTTTTCTCGCGTAAGCTTAATTTGTGTAAGTGGAATTATGCCAAACACTGGAAAAGAATCAACATTCAAGAAGTTTGGATAATATTGAATAACTCTTGAAAATGAATTCAAATGAGCATACAGAATAACACTTTTTTGGTCTTGTCGCGAAAGTAGAAAATTTAAAAAATTTTCTAGAAAGTTATAGGAAAACCATATTTTAAATTTTTTATTATGGACTAAAAATTTTATGGTAATTTTTGTAGTGTTGTTTATATACATTTTTTTCAAACTTGTGGGGGAAGCGTCTTTCTCTTTGTCTCGTGTGTACTAACTGGTTATTTTGAATTTTTAGGAACTATTCGATAATTTTCAAATCGAATGACATTGAAAATTCAAAGAAATACCAAACTCATCAAGCAAAAATTAATCGTTCTCGTGAAAACAACAAAATATGCACTTCGAGACCATTTCGAAAGGCCCACTCGTAAATCTACCCGCGTATAGAAATCACCGGACGCCGACTATATATAAATTATTTCGAAGGACCGATCAAATTAGCAATTTCTACATTAAAGCTCAATGATCTGTTTTTTGGACTAAGAGAATGATATGATGTCTTAGAAGTGAAGACGATTCAACATATCGGATCTGAAGGGCACGTCCACAAAAAGAATTTCAATGTCTCTTCTAACACATATAAGGCTTTAGTTTAACAATCTCTATTTATATTTCTAGAGGAATGGCTGAGGGCTACAAAATCAATAATCGACATTTGTTCGATGATGTCAAAAGTCGTATGATCCAGAGGATTTTTTTGAGGAGGTTGGATCACGACTCGACTAGTTTATGGTACTATGCAGATTGAAAAACTGAACATAAACTTTATTAATTTATGGGAAAATTTCTGAAAAAAAGCGACACCTAAATTTCATCAATTTTCGGAGTTGTTCTTTTTTTTTGAAATCTGCATAGCGCCATCGATTTTTTTCAACCATGTTTCCAAACAACTTTTTTCACCTCTCAATTTATCGAATTTTTGAAAAAAAAATGAGAGGAAACATGGGGGAATAGGAAGAAAAAGCAATTAGCTTGCATTATTGACAACCGACGTATACATTAATGTACACATATTCAGCATTCAATGATTACACACTACGATGTAGAAGTACCTCGAAGTTGCTAACAGAGAAACGATGTGTGACGGAGGCGGCGATCATCTGTTTCAAAATTGTCCGCCGAATTTTATTTACTTTTTTTATAATCAAAATCCGAATCTTCGCACTATTCGAACAATGCGGGACGAAATTTCTGGGCGGGTTGGGTTGGAATGCGCAAATAGTGTGCGAATCGCCGAGAGGCAGACACATTTGGCGTATTGCCAATGAGACCATGATGGTCGGCGAATGGTAAACATCCAATGAAATGTATGTTGGTTGTCGGTGCGGAGGAGGAGAATCAGGAGAGCGTGCGAGAGATGCAGAAATGTTCACACGCGCGCCTCCCCAGTCAATTCGGTTCATTCATGCTCGACGCTGCGCACGCGCCCCGCGATCGATAATTGATCGCGCAAAAAACCTCAACAAATTAGTGTTGTTATTTGTTTTTTTTTGTACGAACCCCCTCTCCGACGACAAAAGAAGAAAAGGAACAAAATCAAACAATTGAATAATAATAGTAATAATCGATTGGGTGCATTCTTGATTAGTCATGGAAGGAATCTGGTTAGCACGATCGGAACATTCCGATTTAAAATGCCACCTTCATTCCCCTTTTCAAATATCACCGCTTTATTATTCGGGGGTTTTAACATAATCGCCTAGGATAAAGTTGGACTCCTAGAAGGATAATAAGGATTGCTCATCGACTTTCTAATTAGATTTCAAAGATGAACATCTCTCAATGGTTTCTTTCATCGAAATTTTGAATTATTCTGAAACTCAAGAAAAACTATAGAATTTATGAGGTGAGGTGATTTCATGATGTCTAATTCAACCCTATAATTATCTTTTGAATCTCAATAAAAAAATGGAGTTGTTCGGAGAATGGCGATTATGAAATGAGTTTGCCTCGCGTGACATCGCCCATTTTTAATATATCCAACACGTTGTAAAGTCATTTGATGAGATTTGAGGGTCCAGCTTGCTCACCGCATTTATTTATTATTACGACCGGAATACGTCACCCCCAATTTCGTCATATTCTAAAACGTTTGTGTGGCGATGGGCGGAGCGACGACAGACGCTCGATTCAACCGAAATTGGCAAGAAAGGATCAAATGAATAGCTCAACAATGCGAACATCGTTTCGTTTTCGCTTCAAGAAAATTGTTCGTCGCATTTAATTGGTTTTTCTCGAGAATACCTACCTCATCCGTCAAATAAAGGAGAATGCGACGAAAAAGAAAAAATTGAAAAAAAAAAATGGACGAACAACTCGTGTTGTTTATGCATTTTGATTCGAAACGCTCCTACGAAATAAAAAAAGAAATAAAAATAATTGAGAAGCGTCATAATGCATGTATATGTTTTGAGAAAAGCCATAAATTTTCGGCAAGCGATTAAAAATCTTTAATTGCTTTTTTTTTTACAGCTATTGCCTGAATGAAATGGCTTTTAACTATTTTTTTTTTCAAATTTCTAAACTTGACACTATGAATAGTGTTAATTGCCCTAAACTTTATTTAAGAGAATCTTTGATTAAAAAAAAAGTAGGACACTTTTATAGCCAAAAGAATGATTATACAAATATAAGGGAAAAAAGTCTTGCGTGTTTACGGACAATACATACATATAAAGGGGTTGCACGGAATTCCGTTCCCGTTTTTCGTTTCCTTCTCTCTTTTTTTCGATTTCCTTTTTTCGCTGTTCCGCTGATGGAAAATTAGTGTACTAAAAAAAACGCACAAGCTGATTGCAGTTTTCTCGAATTCTCCCGATATTCTTTTCAAGGGGTATGATGATTTTTTCTTTAATTTTTCGTGAAACACAAATTTTTGCATACATCTGTAGATTTCAAATTTTGTGCAACGAACCAATGGGAAATTGCCAATTAAAAAAATTTATGTAAATCTAAAAAGGTTCCGATGTTATCCTTTTTGTCTATTTTCTCAAAAAAAAATTTGCATAATTTGGAACATTTTATTTTCTACTAAACATCAAATTGATTCAAATTTTTAATATCGAAATCTAAAACTCATGGAAAAATAGGTAAATCACGTCAAATTCTAAATGACGCGATGCTTTGGCGACAATTTAATGTCAATGGTCCATTTTTTTAAATCAATTTTTAAATGTTTTATGTGAAAAGCTTGAATATGAGATACAAAAAATTTATTTCATGGTTTTAAATTCAAAATTTACCGATTTCAATTTTAACACAACATGAGTTGATGATCATCTATGGAATGATAACTTCTATTGTCAAGGTTTTGAAAATTTTGAATTGTTAATGGTAATTAAAATAATTCAAAATCATAAAAATTTGTGATTTTTCATATAATGTCATTAAATTTTAAATTGAAGAAAAGAAGCGAAGAGTTCTTTTCCATAAGAAACCTAAGGCGGCAATTCAAATGATGAATAATATAAGAATAATCACTATTTTTTTTGCTCAATTTAATCAATTGTGTGGATCCGACAATCACCAAGATTACTGAGGATTTTGAAGTTTTTAAACAAAATTTCTGAAATTTTTAATTTCCAGGAGAGGAAAGAGAAAACAATAGCCGTAACTTAGAAAATCGACAATCCATTAATTTTAGTTTCTTCTTCATGCCCACTTATTTTGTTTCTCGAAGACATTCCGAAATGATGCTAATTATCTACGTGGTCTATTGAAAGAAAGAAATTATTTATATGATAGTGTCATCGATGCGTCCGAATGCAAATAAAACTTTTGGCGCGAGAAACTCGCACAATATTTTCGAGACATTCTTCGTTATTCTTTTTTTCACCGTAAAACATCTGGCATTTTGGAAACATTTGCATTCGACGATGACAAATTCT